GTTTCCTGCTGATTAATTAGGTAAATATCTTCTTACTGTTTTTACCGGTGTACGGTTAATTTCAAGAAAACTGGTGCCCATTCGTCTGTCAAGATTTAGAGTGCAGCTCTGTATTAAAGCAAAGTTGGGAAACTACAGTCCCGAGGCATGAACAAAGTTTATTACAGCAACAGAATTTACAATGCGCCAATTGCTGGGCTGGTGACAGGCACCTCTCACTGAAAAACACCACATATCAAACACAGTGCCATTGTCTGATCTACATGTATGCACACATGAAGTGAAGAAACCGAATTCATAATTTATAGGAAGAAACTGAATTCACAACTTATGTGTTAAATTGTGCACAGCTCTGATATGATCTATGGGATCATGTCACTTAGCAGTGAAAAGTTCTTGAAACTTTAGTTGATGGAGGTGACACAAGCCAATTTCTACCACGAACAGCTCTGCTAAACCCTGCTGTGCAAGAACTGTAAAACTGGTATTGAAGTGACACTGGAATGCGTGGACAGTTTGAGACCAATAGATGACACTCTATTTTTACTTCAGTTCTGCAGCTGCAGGCATTTCTACTTTCTTGCCTTGGAGGTTTTCAAATTTATGCACCTTAATCTTTGGGAAAGATTGTAGTATTTAACCATATTGTTCCAAGACTGTTGAAGTAAATGACAAGATTCCTCACTTGCTCAAAAAATTTTTGGACTATGGCTGCAGCATTTTCATGTTTTACACCAGCTTACTTAACAGTAAAAAGTACAGAATTTGTTTTCAGAGCTAGTCACAATGTGCCTGCACCAGCACAAAAATAAAGACTGTACAGGACCCCCAGGAGCAAATGCTCTCAGTTTTCAAAGACCAGACATCTCAGTCCCACTGCTCAGAGTCTGTGGGGAAAAGAATACCTAATTCCCATTAACAGCTTTGAAAACCTCTTTGTAGGAAGAAAGAGCAAACACAGAGAGAAGTGAAAGGAAAAAAATAAATAAGAACAGATGGCAATGGATCATGCCTGGTAATGTAGGACTTCATTTATACAGGAGCCTCTTAACCAATTCTGCAGTATAAAGGTATTTCAACACAAATAATGGTAAGATTCACAGAATACATCTATTATATATTTTATCTGTAATTCTGCACTTCCATATTACAGTAAAATGTACTTTTAAAGGCACTTCTGCCTGACTTCCATAATAATGCCAAGATCAATCTGAAAAACTTTGTAGATATATATTAAATTCCTTTTAAGATTATTTTAAAATAATCACGTGGGTGTCCAAAAATGCTCTTGCACCTGTATGTAAACTGCAATTAATTTAGGGTGACTTCATTGCTTGATTTTGTGAAAAAGAAGTTATTTGGGACTGTCCTGCTCTGTAGTAAAGTAATTGTAATATAACAGTCTTTTGTTGTTGTTTTACTAAAACACTTATATGAAGTTCCTGACAAATAGCAATTTACTAAAAATCACTTGGAGCTTTGCTTATCTGTGGAATGTTCCTGCGTTTAAAATTAAAGTAAAAGCCTTATATATGTGCACACGTGGGTGTCTGCACATATATTTATGCATATGTATGTATATGTGGATATATATATAGCTGGAGAGATTTTACAGTTAGGTCTGATTCAAATAGCTTTAAATTTTTATTGGCTTTCTTCCTCACTTTTGAGACATTAATTTATAAAATAAAACAGTTTCAGGCACTGCTTTGAAGTGTTACTAATCACAAAATGTTAGGCCTACACTCAGATGTAGCAGACTCTAAAATTCTTAAGAGTCTCACCCTGGGTAAGTCTTTTTGCTCTTTAAAAAACCTTTTTTCCATGTATTACTCTCATTCCCTGCTCTATTAGTAAAGGCATTCTACGCATATTGTAAAATGACATATGTCACATGTCTAGAAATAATCCTTATGAGACTGAATCTTGGACTTGGTCAGACTGATAAATATCTGCAATTATTTTGAATTTATAATGAAGAATTTAATTTAATGGTGTTGTACAAGTTCATGCAGAGTAACTTGCTGATAATCAAGCAGCTGAAGCATATTTCTTTCTTGGTGGGAGCTCCATCATACATGCTTTAAGAAAAAATTATGCCTGAAAGGTCCAAAATTTTCACAAATAAAAGATCTTGCTCAGAACTAAACTTTTTGGGAGTTAGAAAGTTCAATGTTTTCCAAAATTTTCAGAGGAATGTGCACCTCAGAAATACAGCATACTGTCAATATGTTGTACTTCAGTGCTCATAGTCTTTGGTTAAGAATAAATACCAGGCACGATCATCAGGTTTGCAAGAATGCTGTGTGCAGAGATGTCTAACCTTGACTGTAAATGTAGATCACATTCAGCATGGAAGTTCACAACTGGCTGAACAGACCTGGCTTATATATCACTGCTTTGGAGGCAAAAAAATTGGTCTAACTGTCTTAACAGAATCTTAGTTCTTTTGAGGTAATGACTTATTAGTATGGCCAAACCGGGCATCCAGGATATAACATCTAAGCTGAAACTTAGGTGGATCATTCATTGGCTTTTATCAGATTTTTGAACCAGATCTCTAATAGAGGTACTAGTAACACTTTTTTCAACACTTAAAAACCCTAAAAAATGCATTTTAAGCTCCTGCTGGTTTTGTATTTTGAAGAGCAGACAGACATTGCTAAAATTCATTTTAATTTTATGGAACATTGTTTTGGTAAAGATCTCATAAAATCTTATTTTAACAATGTCTGTGTTACAGGTCAAGTTATATTTTTCAATAGTACCTTTTAACTGAGCCACATAAACAAAACACAGAATTCCCAGGTAAGCTAGAAAAAAACCATCATATGGCAATGCCTGGATGGGAAAAATAATTTTTGTATGTACAATCACTGCTCAGAAATTAACATAGGGGAGCATGAGAACAACAATGGCTGTTACCCCCTACTTCAAAGTTGAATATCCAGTTCCCTTTCCATTGCCTGTAATTTTTTTCCAAGTAATACTAGGCTGAATTGTACTGTATGTCTCTGAACACCAAAGAATCTCTCAGCACAACAAGAGGAGGTAATCAATTGCCTCACATCTCCAAAGGCTTCAGTTTTCCATGCTTCTTTTAAAAGGGAATACAAACTGTAAGGGTTTCACAAAACAGCATTAAATTAATGAGAAATGGAAATTGTTGGCTTGTGCAAAACAAACAGAAAGGTTGACTATGTATATGTAAAACAAAACACAGTAAAGACATAAATACCTTTCTGGTACTACCAGCAATGAAGGACTGGCATTACTTGATTTGGAACAGAGGGTTGTAAGGATAAACGTTTAATATTTCCAGCAGAAAAAGCAGGCCCAGCACAAGAAGAAGGTAAGAACATTTTCAAAGGTCTGGATCAGGAAGATGACATAGACTACAGAATAGCTTCTCAGGCACTGACTTAAGTCTTGCTATTTGAGTCATCTAACTTTGGACCATAAAATGAAACAGTGAAGGTAACTTGGCTTCAGGTATTAGAATTTCCTTCCAGGAAAAGCCCAAACTTTTCTTTAATGGCTAGAAACCAATCACTGGGTTGGAAGGTTTTAGTAGGGTTATTAAAATTGACAGGAAATTGGACAAGCAAGCATGAACACTATGCAGAAGTCCACAAGCAGGGACTTTGTGGCCTGATTCACTTCATACACACTTGGTGCGTGACATCTCTCTGTTATGTTCATATCTGTTACAATATCCCAAAGTTGCACTAACAGCGAGAAAGATACTGACAATCAAAGAAATAAGTAAAGAAAGAGAGACTGAAAAGAAGTAAAGCTTTCTAAATACAGGTGCCAACAGTAATAAAAATAAGTCATGAAAGGAAAATCTGTTTGCAAATAGGGTATTCTCCAAAGCTAGCACTACAAAATTGTTTCAATAATCTATTTTTTTCATAGATGCCACCTGGAAAGACCAGCTGGCAAAATTCAAAGGAGCATTAACAAGGACACCAAAATTGTCACAGCAATACCCACCTAAATTGCAGAGGATTGTACACATTTCATAGCTTAAAACAGACCTGTCTTTGCAAGAAAGGCAGTACAATGATTCTGCATTTCTTACGTGGATTTTATGGTGTGTTAGCAGCTAAACATGCTATAAAACAGAAGACTTTCACTTTAAAACTTATAAACCATGTTTCATAAAAGGCTTTTAATCAACATTTAGAGGTCCTCATACAAATACAGGCGCCAGCTTTTTTCCACAAGATCTATGGTGCAACAGTTATAGAGTCTCAATCACTCTTCAGAAACCTAAATTTTCTTTTAAGCCTGGGCCGTTATAACTAGAGTCACTGCCAAATCCAGGTCTCATGAATGCACAATACTTTTCACTTTTGGTTAGTCACCATCACTTCAAGCCAGCATTCCTCTTTTGATGTTGTGCTTGATCAGCTAGTTTTTGTAATGTACTTTTCTCCCTCCGTGAACGTACTAGATAGCGTAACTAAGCTTTTTGCAGGATCCTGCATTCTACAGTCAGCCTTCAGGGACGCTAAGTTTAAGAGTAAGGAAAGAGTAATTAAAAGTGATTAGGACAAGAAGCCTCGATACTATGAAATGTGGACTCAATTGTCCTTGACACAGGCAGAATGAGGCAGCAGGTTTTGGTTTTGATTACAGCTTTACTTGTGATTTTAATAAACATGAGCCAGTATTCAAACTTTTAATATCCTGCTGCTTAACTATTTCCAAAAAGCAATCCAGCTCTTTTAAACAACTCTTGTTTAAAAATTTTAATTTGTTTGGCTCTGTCTCTGCTTGGAGAAGCTGTAGCCTCATGGTAACTCTTTTACAAGTTCATTTCCAGAATCACAGCAATTGGGTTTTTTTCAACTAAGTGTTTCCGCATGTGTCAAAAGTGTCAGGCTGACAGCTTTCCTGCACCATTTTATCTGGTTCCCACAGTAAGTATGAGAGACAAACACAGGAATGTGTCTAGTGCTGACTATGCCCATCAAGAATACAATGATACTTACAGCTCTTCCAGGAAGCGGAGATTGTGCACAGGGTTTGAGGGCAGCTTAGTAATGTTGTTCATACTGAGATCACTGTAGGGGAAAACAGACACAGACTTAATATGGCATGCCACAACTGTGGCATCCAGCTGTTCATTCCACACATTTTTCAGTGCTACATTAAGAAAAATCAGTTCCTCTGCCAGTACTGATGAATCGTTATCTAGTTAGCACACTAAACATTCTTCTTTCGTATGAACATAGGGTTGTGAAATCAAATACAGTCTGTAGCATGTTCTTCATTTCCAGAGATTCTGGAATGTTTTATCACTCTCTATAAATCATCTGGAACACTAAACAACCCTTTTAGTCAACATAATTTTAATAAACCACTGTATTGTATTAAAATTTACTTGGAGTAGTAAAGAAAAACTACTATGAATTTTGTTGTTTTTGTTGTAGCACCATAGTACACTTGGTTTACTAAAGTAGACAGGCAAAAGCATACCAATACAGACTATCTGCAACATCCTTTATATTTCATGACTATGGAATCACTTTGCCTTTCCTGTACAACCTGCTGCATGGTCACATTGATTTGCCTTGCCTCACATTAGGCACATCAGGTGTCCCCAAACCCCAATTTGACTCAAAGAAATGATATATTTTCAAATAATAAACATGCAATTTTTGAGTGCTCTTTTGTTACAGGTAGTCAAATTGCATTAAATAAGTGAAATGAACCATAAAACAAGGGTGTAATGTGATCCCGCTCTGTAGCACACTTCCTGCTGGGGTTCCACAGTAGTTCCTGGTACAGGAAACTACTAGCCATATCAGCTCTGTCAGAGCTCATTCAAGCTATGTTTTAGACTAAATTTCATATAATACCTTTTTATTCTTAACTTGCTTTTTCATGGTTTTCCATTGTCTTTCTCATGCCCCACAGTACCATTATAATTGCTTTTCATTAAGTACAAAACCTGTAAACAGACTGTATAATAGAATTCTGTGTGGAAGATCCAACTTACATGACTATAACAAAATTCCTGTAGTTTCTTAAAATAAAATTAAGAATGACCTGCATATTTTATGCAAATGTTATATAGTAATTTAAAAGTCCCCACTATTTAAACGTATCTATGCATTTGTAGCAGTGCTTATAGTTTCCAGCTACTTCGGTTACTATTTAGATAACTTTATTTCTTCCAGCTGTTGAGAGCTTACAAGGTAAATAAGTTATCTGTACTTTGGTGGGTAGGCATCCTATGCCTACTCCATCTAGTTCTTATTATTCACAGTCTGTTTCACATTACAGAATATATGCTTGATATATGTTTGATCTTTTGCTGAATTTTAAAACGTATAATTTAAAAACATACTTCACATAGAGATTCTGAAATAAAGGAAATGTGTTAATACTTTATAACAATTATCAAATCACTGTTGAGTAAGGTCTCTGCATTCACTTCAAAATCAAAGTATAATTTGAGAAATGTGTACTTATTAAATTCATTCTTTACCGTAATACTTTATCACCTAATTCTTTCATACTGTTTAGCAGTTATTGCCCTTTTACTTTGATAAAGGCTCAAAGGGTTTATTCTGGCAAAGGAACAAAAACATGGATTTATTTGGCAAAAGAAAAACTCATCCAGGTAGTGAAGTACATACTACGGAATATTAAGATAAACCCAATATTTTAACAAGATCATTTTGATTGTGATATTTTCAACACATGTCTTAATGGGGTTTTGGAAACATCCCAAATCACATTTTAGACTTAAAAACCAGCCCTGCTGGAAGATGGGAATGATTCATCTTCAGATACACACGTATTTAGAGCATTCTACAAAACCAGCATTAACCAGTGCTCTGGCTGACCAAGAAAACCTGGTTTTCTAGCATATTAATTTCTGTTACTAGCAAGCAGTACTTGTCTGCTTGTATCACCCACAGGACCCCATGATGAACCAGTCAGAAGCAATCTACAGATCAGACCTTAATATCTTAAGAGGATTAGAATAAGAGGAGGTGGCTTTCCTTATGTGCTTTGATGCACAAGGAGAAAATCAACAATATGTGCGTTTTTCTTAATAACATCTTTAGACCCTAGAGCTGGATTTGCCAGCAGTGAACTCCTATGTCCTAGTCTCCTTTTTGGACTCAGTCATGTGGTAAAGTATGTGCTCCACATCATATGATGGAGGAGAACCTCTTTCCCAGTGTACACTGCAGCAACTGCTAACTCTTTTTAGTTAAATAATTTCCTTCTGCTACTTTTTTTCTGGTTACTTCTTTTCCAGATTATTCTTTTGTTGGAACATAGCATATAAAGATGTTTTTGTAAAACAAAACTCCTAAACATTACATATGCATATTTCATAGAATCAGAATCATTTAGGTTGGAAAGACCCTTAAGATCTTTCCAGTCCAGCTGTTCACCCAGCACTGCCATGTTGGTCACTAAACCATGTCCCTAAGTGCCACACCCATGCATCTTTTAAATACTTCCAGAGATGGTGGATGTAACAGAAATTATTTCCCAATTTTGATAAACAATGTCTTTTAAAACTAGTTTTTAACACACTTGCAACTAATACACAGGCCATTCCAGTCTATGTTGGCAATGTGCTGTTCTTTTAGCTATAAGGGTTTAAGAATATAAGTGCAACTACTGCAGGGAGAGGTAATACATTTGATGAGCCTAGCGGATACAGTTGGAAAAACTGAGAAACTTTTAGGCACAAAAATAAAAAACCTCTACTTTTCCCAACTGTATCAGCTGGCTAAACAGGTGTTATTATTTCTCCCTAAAAAAATACACATCCCTTACATTGGAAAGCAGTAGTTCATTTTTTAGATTCAGAATATTCTTCTGGATCAGAATCACCATAGATGCATTTAATCCAATTTTTGCTCACTAAAAGGGAGAGAAGTACCATGACCCAGAGCTACTGCTGGGGGGATATTTGGAGATGTGAGACAAACAAAAATGGTTAATGCAAGGCAATCGGTCACTGGGTCTCGTATGAGCAATATGAAAAATTTGGGCTTCTGAGTAGGAATTCCTCACAGTGCTCTAGAGATAAATAAAGGAAGTTTTCAGCATTTTGGTTTGCCAGCATTTTGGACCTTACTGCCAAGAAGACATAGCTAGGATGAGATTTACAGCCATTAGCTAGATAAAGCACAGTTAACAGCCAGAAAGAGCTAGCTGGTAAATGACAGGATTACACATTATTACTATGATAACCAGTAACACTTGCAATGGGTATGTCTTATGTCCTGCACCTGCAATGGTTTCTTTCCAAGAAGTGCATCAAACAGGTTTTCTGATTTCTGCTTTCACTGCTAGCCTGCCAAAATCAGCAATTTGCTTTCTCTAGGAAACAGAAGGGGATGAAAGATGGCTTACACGTCAGCATTTGCATTGTAATGCTTAAGAACATTAAAATCAAGGTACTGGATCTTTAACTATCCTCAGTGGAATTGTTCTGATTTTATACTGGATCTTGGTAAACTCTTACAAACTACAGCAATGAAAAACACAGAATTATTACATTACTGAAAACCTTTAAATAACTCAGCGTAACAGAACTACTCCTGTCTCCCACCATCAAAGCACATACAAACCCCGCTGATGTCAGTAGGAGCAACACAGTAAGAGCATACCCTGTTTTAAAATGCTCCTAATATAACCAGCAATAGTACCAGATCTACCTTTGTGAAAACTATCTGCACCGTGAACTACCATATTCTACTGAAAAGGCAATAAACCGTTTTGAACAGTCAGATGGACATATCGTGTGTTCTCCCATCAGCATTCCTGCAGCCTGTTTCCAACTGCTGACTATAAAAGCAACATACCAGCAAATGCAACTTCATCTTTTCAAAAAATTAGAAGTTTTGTTTCAATGACTGCATTGGCAACATGGCTCACTCTAATGATATCTTAACTACACCCTGTGCCAATCAATCACCATACTGTGCCTCTGGTGACTTGCTAAGGGAATCCTATCTACGATGAAATCTTTGAAAAACAGAAAATATTGCAAACTCCACCATGCATCTATCTGTTTTTTCTTGGTGAGCAGATTGGCAAATTATGAGCATTTGCAAAACAGCACCCAAGAAGGCAAATACGAGTCTTCCCCCTCTCTCTGCCTCCCCCGTTTTGTTGTCCATGCATATATGTGCTGAAAAAAACATCCAGCTACCATCTTAATAGTGAGTTCAAAATGAATTCCAGAAAGCCAGTAAAACAAGTTAAGTGAACCAGTTCTTCACACTTAATAGATGAGTTTGGAGGCTGAGTTACTAACCTGTTATTAGCTGTTATTACAAGAAACGTTTCAGTGACTATTCATCTTGGAATATCAGTTTTTATGTTATACTCAAGTCTTTCAAAGGAGAACAAAAATCTCTCCAGGGATACACACAAAACTTCTACTGGCTTTCATCAACCTGCCAGTCTACTATTAGGCTCAACATCTATTATACTGAATGGTACAAACCTGTCTACCCATTGCAGGTCTAATACAATTTTGTAGCCTATTTTCTTAACCATTGCAACCCGCTTGATTTTTAGAAAATGATCAAGACTTATTATTAGGATTATTAATTTTGATTCTTCTAAGCCTGCCTTATCCCAACAAGATGTATTAACAATTATTTTTATGGAAGTCTTTGAAAGATAAAGCACTTTCATAAAATACTGACAATAGACTGAATGTACTCCCTTAGCTACTACCAGTTGAGAACAGTTTCTAAACTATGACAATTTCCTTAATTAATTTACAGCACAGTTTCACACTAGCTCACATGTAGTAATAAAAAATAATGAAAACAGGTGCATATTACTTCTCTTCTTCCCTTGTTGTGCCTATCTTTTTAACTCTTGTTTCTACTGTTGACAGAACAACAGCTCCACTGTACAATGGAAGAATATGTTAGCTATTAACTACGTGCCATCTACTAATGCAAATGCTTCATTAGCTTTCATGAAAAATATGTTCATCTGCTACAGCTACTTAAATCTATTCGTCAACACTGTAGTAGTAGTAGTTCCTATTTCTTACAAGTAAATTGCT